TTGCGTAATGACATTGCGTTTATGGAAAACGCCCGATTGATTATGCATGAATCCAAGAGGTAAATATTGTGAGCAAGCTACAGAGTGATACCCTACGCGTGAGTATGCGCATACCGTTTGTCCTTCGTAGTCTAGAGTAATGGCGGTTAGCGACTACACCGACAACTAAGAACTGCAGATGCCAGTCCCGTGTAGTGGCTCGGACTATTCATCGAACGCGAATCGCTGCCGTCGCAGTAGTTTGTGGAGAAGAGCGAAGTCTCCGTGGTAGAGGTTTATAGTCATCGGCCCCGATCGAATTGACAGTGTCTGACTTGGGGTTTCGATTGTAAGCCTAAGCCTGCCCGCCGAACGTCAATGAAAAAACAAACGTCTTTGGACTTTGTTATATGTGTGGTCAATATATAACATTAGACGGAGCGCAAAGAAAGAAAAGCTTAATGCCATTCCGAGAGAGCGAGGAGAGAGAAGTTCGATCATTGCTATGGACAACGATCGAAAAGAAGGCGAGGTGTGCTGTGCCATCGCTCCTGCCAAGAGAAAAGAGAGAGTGTGGTCTTCTCTGCCTCTATTTGTTTCCATAATTGTGTGTCAATTATAAGAAATTTCTTAGTTAGCATGTGGCAGCAGAAAAAGGAAAGCCTAATTCCTGTTCCCCCTAAAAAAAAGAGCTCATTGCATGGACTTAAGATCGCACAGTCGAGGTGCCGGATGTGGGGCCCGCTGTTTTCTACCTGGGAAGAGAGGGAGTGTGTCTCTTCAGTCCCTGAGCCTCCGAGCCGATCCGCCGACGTCCAAATTCTAGAGTCCGTGTCTGAGTGTGGTCCAGACGAAGCAGGACGAGCCCGGACCTTCGTGCGGTCCCTCCGATAGCTTTAAAGTTGAGGCCGCGGCGCCCGGCCCCCAGGCAGCGGGCCTGGTACGCGGGTGGGGACCGGTTTTTTTGTAAATTAGGTTTTGAGGCCGGCAGGGCGTAGAAGGTCGTTCGGCGGGCAGTTAGGCGTCGCAAGGGAGGTGCACACGTACTGAGCAGAGAGCGCCAACTTGGGCGATTCCCGCACAGGGGATTGACAACCCACACGTTTTCTACTACTTTAGTGGCCTATGCAGCTCGGGGTTTGCAGCTGCTGAGGACACGTTTCTTGGGGGCAGACCCCGGGGCTGGGACCCCCGGTTGTGTACTTTTACCGAAACAGGAGTACAGCCAACAGAGCACCAAAGAACGGTAACGACTCCATCATACTCCGTTCATCCAGTCACATCCCTTACGTCTTTTTAAGATACTTGCACGACGAGGCAAGTAAACAACAACGCAAAGTTGGTTTAGAGGCTACACAGTAAGCCGATCCAGACTCAGCGACCACACGGTCGGTCCTTCCGCAGCAAGTCCTGAGCCGTTCTGCGCTGTCGAAGCCAGAAACAGCGAAACCACAGATACTGCACCGTACTGCCGTCAAACCCTCATCGTCGAGAGCATCTCGAACATTCCCACTACTTCAACACAAAGCCTTTTGCCGCCGAGCCATCGAGAGACAAACCCCCTAGGCGTAGCCACGACAACGCCTACAGCCTCTCAACGTGTGAAACCGGCAAAGAGTCTTACCTCCCTACAAAACACGTAGACAAAGTCTAGAGGTCCTCGGTCCCCAGTACAACGCACAATGCAGTCCACGACATATAAGAACGTCATACAGTAAAGCTTAGGCAACGACAGAAAAGGCCGCCAAAGTCCGATATTGGAGACGTGGGAAAAACGCGAATTTTTCAAGGGAGAGTATACAGCTTCCCAAACTGGCACGCGCGTGAGCCGACCAGACATTGTTAGACATATTACACCAAGCCCCTAAGACTATGTGACACGCTACGACACCACAACAGACCCTATGGGGACACCCAAACCGAGCCGCCTCAACAAATACCGCCCGAACCGGTGGCGACACCTACGTTGCCCAACGACACGGAAACACTAATAAGCCACAACCACCACCAGAAGCGGTTCTGCCGCAACATCGGTCCGGAAGGAACGACATAAACAGTATAACCGACAGAAGAGATCCGAGTAAAGCGATAGACTTAAAAGGAAGCAAAGAAGAGGTGAAGTGACTATAGTCCCAGCACGCAGGCGTCTCTCAAGAGTACGCAGAGCATGGGCCTCCTCCTTTCCCCACGGAATAATATAGAGTAATCACCCGAAAGTCGCATCCGCAGCGACCTACGAGAAGAGCTTATCTGGCATTTTAGTAATTGGAGCGACGAGAGCGCGGAGCGGCGACCCGCCAATGAGCGAACCGCATGTACCTTGACTCGAAAATGCGTCAATATAGAATACCTTCAACCGTATCAATAATAGGCCCTGTCAGACAGACCAGTACTATTTATCTAATGACCGTTGACAGCCAATAAGGGGCTCTGTTGTCAACCGAAAAGGCAATCCTCACTGGAGTGACGCCTTACCCTGTCCACCAACGAACCTCTCCTCTAGATAGTTCGCCCACGTACCCAATTATGACTGTGTAAACCGGAAGCCGTAACCGACCCAGTCTCTAACTCCCCTAATCTTTCAGTTTCGCTTGTAGGGGAAAGGAGTGCAAGAGACACGCTATACCAAGTGTACTAGGCGAACTATGCGCCTTCCGTCTAACCATGACGGGGGGGGCGCACACGAGGAGGAGCAAAGTGAGACCGCGCACGAGTTAGAACTAGTTTTAATGGGAGCGGGGGGACACCTTGCCTAACGAGTCAAATCGTAATACCCTAATCCCAGTCCACAAACCTGAAGTTCGGACGTCCAGAGCTGAAGTCCAGAGCGTAGTAACCATATCAGACAAGGAGTTCACGCGATACTACATGACACCCGTAACTTCAGCGGTCTAACGACTATACCTTAGAGGAGGACGTAGAAATAAGGGCATCAAGCACATTATTACCCACTGTAATCGCTTTGCTTGCACTAAACCACCTTGACTCAACTGTCTCTGTAAAACCCTTCGTCTTGAGCACTTTACAAAGGTACCAATAAGGAAAGAGCGATCACAACGACCGAGGGTCTCGAACAGGAGTAGAACTCCAAACCAGAAACTTTTGGATTCTGGAGGTATATGTATCATCACTGTGCGACCAGAACTCAGGGCAGCGAAGGCAAAACCAGAAAACACACAATGTAGCTTTACGGAGCCAAAACGGCAAATATGTCTTACCTTTGCTGTTTTCTGATCAAAAGTTGTGTTCAATGGCATTAAAACGCATAAAATGTGTCAATCATCAAAATCGACCGAGGGGGGCCAGAGATATGCAAATACACCCAAATGACCCCAGAAGTGGGTTTTTTTTTCTAAACCTCTCTTAAAAGCTCAATTGTCAATTGTTTTGCATCAATCTTGATACAGGGTACTTATTATATGTTATAATTTGGATTTCTAAAGCTTTTTGTCTACTATCCCATCATTCAAGGGTGGTTTTCACTATAAGTAATGTGTTTTTTTTGGACGGACACTATCATTTACATTTTTTTACTATGTTCAATCGGAATTTACTTTAGAAGTGAATATATAGTCATTTGTTCTGGGAATGTCATTTTCGAGCCTGAGACCTGAAAAACAGGCTAAGGGCTTAACAGGTTAATGTCCTACCTTCAATGTTCACACTCAATTAAGATAATATAAGATAGGACTTTATTTATCCTTATTTATCCAGAGTTAAAAAGTTACAATAAACACAGCAACATAATAATAGAAGTAACTTATAAATTATAATAATAAAACTGCACACTAACAGTGCAGTAAAAAAAAAAAAATTAAGCTACTATAAAAAACATAGATGGTTCCGACTGCACCACTCCACGAACCTGTCCACCACTCTCCTGTACTCGGCTGCCTGATCTCTGCTGATACTGCTGAGTCATCAGAGAATTTCTGATGGCAGGACTGTGAGCAGTGTCTGAAGTCTGATGAGCAGTGTGAACATGAAGGAAGAGAGGACCGTGCCCTGAGGAGCGCCTGTGCTGCTCAATATAGTGTCAGAGGTGGTGTTCTGCAGCCTCACGTACTGTGGCCGAGCTGTGAGGCAGTTTGTAATCCAGCTAACAAGTGGAGCAACATGTGCAGTATGTCCAGTAGTTTACTGCTACTCTCTGTAGCTCTCTGTATTCAGAATGGCAAACAGTTGTTTTAGTTTAAACTGAATTGTTTTGCATACTCAAGTTTTTTAAGAAACCATAGAACTTAAACCTTCAAGCAGTGATAGACGGGCCGTGGCGTATCCACGCATGTCAGGGGTACTTCCTGTTGACACAGCAGTGAATTGCCATGACCGCTGGAGACTGGCCACATGAGTGAACATAAGTTATTGCATGCAGTTTGATACGCTGAAATCTTAAGATGGTACTGACCAAATGTTAGGTCAATTGGATGATCTGTTGGAGGAGTTTGTTAAGGTAAATCACCTGTTAAAAACTGCATACAATTCAAAATGGCCAAGTTCCTGTAGGGTCTACCAACACGCTCTAAGAGACTATCTTTGCCGTCTCCATGTGATACATACTCCCACCAAATTTCGTAGATAGGGCACATTCACAAAGAAAAACAACTTTTGGTTAGTGTTTAGGCCCTAGAAAATGCAATTCCCTGCTCCGACTGTCAGTTCATGAGCCCTAATGATATAAAAAAATATATAATGTCGTCTCGAGTCCCTTTGTGCTTTTCACTATGTTTTGTGAAGTGTTGCAATTTTTTTTTTTCATCATATGACTGTTGAAAATAAAAAAAGATAAACAATAAAGAAAACACCATGTCAATCAATGGGCTATCATTCCAACTCTTTTTTATGATGATTTTGATGATGAAATAACATTGTTGCTCATCACATTTAAATACATGTCTTTTTATTCCCAGTATGACTTCTATCATGTTAAATAGCTATTGAGTGAAAAGATGTGCAATAGCGTTAACATCTCTATTTTCTCTTGCTTTGTGTCTCAGGTGTCGTCATCAGGTGAGGTGGAAACCATGGAGAGGCTGTTGCTGTGTGTGATGCTGGCAGTTGCCATGGCAGTGCGGGCACAGATCTGCCCGAAGCGTTGCGTGTGTCAGATCCTGTCACCCAACCTGGCAACCCTCTGCGCCAAGAAAGGTCTTCTGTTCGTCCCGCCCAACATCGACAGGCACACGGTGGAGCTCCGGCTGGCCGACAACTTTATCACAACGTAAAAGTCCAATCACTGATACCATCAAGAGAACTAGTACTTCAATGCTAATACTACATAGGTTGCTTTTGGTTTTTCTACCTTACAAGAACAACTCCCAGTACTAATGTTCTTGGAAACAGCTTCATTCATTTCAATGAGACCATAGGTTGGACATTGAGAGGGTTCCCAGGGTCATTTAGCAAAAAAGTTGAACATTGTCAAAATGTGTCGGGGCAAAATTTAAGGATAAAAAAATATATAATAATATGAAATATTGTATTGTTAATATGCTGTGTCAAATCACACATTATCAAATGTAAATGTGTAATCCATCTTATTGTAAAACAACCTAAACAATTTCCCTTAACGCGTGGCTAAAAACTGTCCAAAATGTTCTTCAAAACTTCACTAGGTAAAATCATTTTCCGATATATATTTTCAGTTGTGTTAGTGAATCCAGTTTTACTAGGAAATAGCCATTAGCTGGTAGCAACTAGCTTGTTACTAGCTAGTTGCAACTATCAAGTAACAATATCCCTGTTTCCCTTTTTTTGTAGCAGGTGCTTGGTCTTCCCTTGTCGCATCTAGATCGTAGAAACGCAGTTGAAAGAGTCTTTATTCTTTACTTTGAATGTAATTTCAATACTTTTTAAAGTTTTATTAGACAACCATCTACAATATTAGTCACAGAACACTCCGATGTGTTTTCTACTTTTCCTACTTGCTAGCCACATTCTGAATGGGGCAGTGGAATTTCTTTATATATTTTATGGCAAATGGTTGAGAATACATATAATTGTAAAATTAGAAGGGAAATTTGTTAACAATTAGAAATGCAGTTAGATTTATCCAAGGCTCTCACACTGAGATAAGCCTTCAAACTCATGGCTATATTACTCAAACTTGCTTTTAAAAGGCAGTGCTATTTTTGGCCTGGCCACCTGCCAATGCTATGCTACCAATTGTAACTACCTCTAATGGGCCTAGTACTAGTTAATTGTATCATTCCTACTGTAAGGGATGCTACAGCTTCCTCTGCTAATGCCTTTCACCAAACCACAAAACTGTTGAAAATAGTGAAAGCAGGAAAATCTACAGTAGTTAATACTAGAATACTGGTACTATTATAACAACTATAACACCCACAAAGTTACTATTTAAAATATTATACTTTTCTTGTGCTTTACACCCACATAATTGAGTGATTATTATATTCTCAAAATCTGTTAGAATAATAATAATACAACTTTATTGACAAGTAATAACAACCTATATCTAATACCACAAGAACTACTTATACCAGTTCTTGGAAAGTTAGGTTTAATTGTGTGAGAATTAACAATTTTTCTCCCACGCTGGAAACAGAGACATTGCTCTCTGACGTCAGACGAGGAAGCCCTGAGCTGCTTTGGCGGAGATTAATACGTTTCTGGATTTTTGGACTGAGCGGCATCGCCCAGAGCGCTTTTTATGACGATACAAGCACATTACCCAACAGCAATACAATGAAATAAAACTAATTTAGGTGTGAAAAAAACACTTACCCTAGAGGAAGTCATAGTGGGTTCATAGTCAATGGAGCAGCTCAAGGCTGTCTCCTGATGGCAGTGCAGTTTCAAGCCTCAGTTCTCTGGATTGTTGCATTTGGAGAGAGTTGTTCACGCTCAAAAATATTGAATTAACTGCACTGGATCAAAGGAGTACTATATGGGAATTAGGTTTTACATAATTTTTGCTTTTGAATATTAAAACAGTTTTCCTGTAAAAGTTCTCTTACATTCAAAGACAAAAATGATACACCACCTTTGTCTAGTCCTATGTTATACTGTATATTGTGTTGATTGGTGTTCTTACATCACCTCAAATGTTTCCAGTTTAACATGGAAAATGTGTTATTTGAATCCAGGTTGCGTTCTGTATTATAAGGTCTCCTGAAATGGTGGTGTTTCACTTTTTAGAACCTGCGGTTATATGCCAAAACCCCAAAAAGATGTGATAACTGAACTTTTTATCCAGTTTTAAGACTAATTTGTTATGATACTATTATGAGATCTCGGTCTTATTGAACTCTTGAATGGATTTTAATGATCTGAAATCTGAATCTTAAAGGGGACCTGTCATGCAAAATTCACTTTTGTACGTCTTGTATACATGAATATGTGTCCCCGGTGTGTCAGGGAACTCACCAAGTGTCAGAAAAAACAACCCTCTCTTTGCTCCATACCCAAATCTCTTAAAACAGGGCTGCAACGGAGCTGATTATTATTTGAATTTTTCTGATGTCAGAAAAATAGATGTGGCAACTCTCCACCTATCAGGGGAATGAGAGACCGCTCGAAAGCGCTGGAGACGCTGTAGTACATATGCCAGGCCTGTAAGTGGCGCTCTAGTCTGCCACAAAAGCAGAATCAGCCCTTGCAAAAACACGGCTGGAAAAGAGCAAATAGAGCGAAATGAGGCAGGGCTAAAATGCATGATCTGTTTGGTATTTTGAAAAGAAAACTTCACAGACATGTTTTATATAGGTATGGCCCTACAATATAGGTTTCAAATATAGCATGATAGGTCCACTTTAAGTTATCAGAGAAAGAAGCTGAGCAAACGTTAGCTTGAGATGAACTTATCAGACCAACCTGACACATTTATTTTGTGTTTTTATAATGTTTTGCCATGGTGCTGCTATTTTCTCAGCTCCAGATCGGACCAAAAACTATGAAGAAATCCTAAGTGAGAAAGGCTAACTGAGATGCTGGCTGGGGATGTTACCAAACTCTGTTTTTAGTTTGTATTTCAATTGAGAGACCCCTTGTGGAAAATTACATATTGTCTGTAATCAAAGTTCTGCCTTGTTGGAATTGTCTGTGCAACCAAAAACTCTTGCTTAACCCAAAAGCTGTTCTCGTACCAATCACACATGGTATATGTCTTTGTCTAAGTGAATTGTGCTGATCTGTGTCCACAGTGTAAAGAGGAAAGATTTTGCAAACATGACGCGGCTCGTAGACCTAACATTATCCAGAAACACCATCTCCTTCATCACATCTCACGCCTTTGCCGATATGGAGAACCTCAGGGCTTTACACCTTAACAGGTATGTATATAAACCTAGATGTGTTTGCGGTATGAGCTGAAATCCACCTAAGAAATCTGAAGTGTCATAGAGTCTTCCAAAGCTACAAAGTTCTGTTTTTCTCAGTTTCTACATTCTCTTTTCTCTCTCTTTTAGTAACCGGCTGACGAGGATAGCCAATGATACGTTCAGCGGGATGTCGAAGCTCCACCACCTGATCCTGAACAACAACCAGCTGGTAGTTATCCACCATGAAGCGTTCAACGACCTGCTGGCACTGGAAGAGTTGGACCTGAGCTACAATAACCTGGACTCTATTCCTTGGGAGGCCATCCAGGTCAGGATCTCTTTAAACTGCTGCAGCCTTTCAAAACCCTGACTGGCTGGAGGCCATGGGAATAATCCAATCATAAGCACAATGGGATAAAAGGCCATTAAACATTTTTGCCCATTTATTTGAAATAAAAATAACGAGATCTTTAGGGCTTTTGGATTGAACTGGGGCCATTATGTGGACTATTCATTAAGCTCCACTGAAGCTTCATTTGTAGGCATTTTCAGTGCTAACACTTTCAATTTGTTCTTCGCCAGGCAACAAGCAAATGTCAGGGTCTCTGTGGATCAGCTTACTAACATGCTTTGCAATTTAGGATGATTAAAAAATATAGTGATGTTAGATAAATAAGTGCTTTAGTCATTGTTGAGGAGTAACACAATAAAGAGGCAGTTACATGCTCAATAGCTAAGAAATTAAATGACAAAATAAGTGTAATTGTAATTAAATACAGTAAAATCTAAACAGTTGCTAAACAAATTTCCTGTGATTACAAAGGGGATACATCTGATTATATATATATATATATATATATATATATTTGTAGATAATAATATGTAGTATATAGATAAAACATTTGTGACAGTAGAAGATAACATTAGTTATTTTGCTCTCTTCCAAACTTTTCTGTTAATTATATTTAAAAACAATTCAATTGTTTTGCAGTTATTAGTGTTAAATACTGTTACACGACCTGGTGTACCTTTATGTGTTGGGGTTGCTTTACAACCCAGTTTAAAACATTTGTCAGAAAGCTCAGAAAAAAGTAGCCTAAAGTAATATCTGACTAAATTAAAATAGTATCATTACTTATTACAGTGATAACAGGGTAAGCATTCAATCTCTGACCTATTCAATTTTAAAACGAAACTTTACTAACAAAGTAAGTCATTGTTTGTATATTGAGTTACCACAATAGCTTTGTTGTTTTCAGTTAAACTTTTAAACCTTTAGAATGTGCATGTTAGCATTATTTACTGTAGTTCAACATTTATATCACCACTGTCAAGGAATGCATTAAAAAATGTAAAGTTTAGTGACAATAACCAGGATTGTACTACCTTAAAGAAAACCATTTTACTTCCTCATTTCAAAGTGATACTAAAGTTAACTCTTGCTCTCTGTTCTTTTTACAGAGAATGATTAGCCTCCATACGTTGAGTTTAGACCACAACATGTTGGACTACATCCCAGAGGGAACATTTTCCCTGCTACAGAAACTCAACCGGCTGGACGTCACCTCTAATAAACTCCAAAAGCTGCCACCAGACCCACTTTTTCAACGAGCACAGGTATTATCCAATTATGGAAAGTAGCAGGCCGAAACTTATGTTTTCAATCTCTATTATTGTTATGTTAATATAAATTGTTGAATAAGACAACTACCAGTGCATATGGGTAATCTGACTCAGATCGTGTTACACTCCCAGGTTCTGGCAACATCAGGGATCATGACTGCCACTTCTTTTGCGTTGTCATTCGGGGGGAACCCTCTCCACTGTAACTGTGAGCTGCTGTGGCTGCGGAGGTTGAACCGAGAAGACGACCTGGAGACGTGCGCTTCACCTCAACAACTCTCTGGGCGCTACTTCTGGTCTGTCCCTGAGGAGGAGTTCCTCTGCGAACCTCCACTCATCACAAGATACTCCCACGAAATGAGGGTGCTTGAAGGCCAGAGAGTTAATCTCAGGTACGTTTTTATGCTGTCCACGTAAAACATCCTAGACTTGGGCCAGTTGAAAATAAGGAGGAATAATTTCACCAAAAACTTAGATTTCTTCAATATTGTATGCATTAGATTCTTAAAGAGGCTCTATTATACTTTTTGGGGATTTCCCTTTCCTTTAGTGTGTTATATAGTTTGTATTGCATGTAAATGGTCTGCAAAGGCTAAAATCCCTGTGTTCCCTCCAGAGGGGATTTCTCTCCCACACTCTCCCCCCTGCCTGAATCGCCTCCATTGTACTCCTTTATTTACTTCCGTAACAATGTGACATCACTATGTAACACTCACACTTCTATTGGCTAGAGGGCCATTTCTGGTACATCTCTAAGAGATCGCACACACACAACAGAACCGGCCAGCTAACCAATCAGAACAGACTGGGATCTGCTTTCAGACAGAGGGTGAAAAGAAGTGCACACATGATGCTATAGAACATTATTTCACCAAAGAAAAAAAGCCTTAGCAGACCCAGGAAACTAAACAGTGGTTGTTTTCTTGCGTTCTTATAGCCAACACACACTTGTTTCCTTAAGTTGATATTCGACCAAGGACTATTTTCTTCCTCCCATTGTTCAATTTTTTTTTGCATTTTTTCTATTTTTTTTCAACGTGTTGTAGTAGTTTCACTTTGTTTTCGTAAACTCATGACTCCATTAGTTTTTTTTTTTTTTTGCAAAGTTGTGCTCTTTGTATACCTGGAGGGACCCATTTCTAAAAACTCTGAAACCTTTATCTTTGCAGTCCGTCAGGCCTAACTCATCCTGGTTTACACTCTATATATAATTTTAGCGTTAAGTACAATACCTCATATGTTTTGGGTACATTATACAGCATTCCTCATAATATAACGTAAAAATATAAGAACAATATAAAGAATACAGTAAAACAATTATACACATTATCAATTTGAATTCCCGTAGTTGAGTATTATGTTTACAAGCCCCTCTAAATGCCTGGCTGTTCAACGAAATACAGAGACAGCGACAGCGACATCAGGATAACATTTTAGGGAGGATGAAACAGTGGGTTACGTATTGTAACCCTAGTTATATAAGCACAGGCGGAGCGTTCAAGGGCCTCAGTAGAAAATCGGCCCTTTCGGTGTCAGCCCCCCTTCGCCAGTGGCAACAGCCACTGTACCCTGTGGTTTTCCATGGCTCGGCGAGACAATCCACCCTTGGGGGTGGATGCGTTTGCACACGAGCCATGGCCAAGGAAGCTGCTGTACGCCTTTCCACCAGTACGCCTCATTCTCCCCCTCCTGAAGAGGGTGGGACGAGAGCGTCTGTCAGTCATCCTAGTGGCCCCAGACCACCGCTTGCGCGCGCATTCAGGTAGGCCCGCCCCAGGGGGCCGGCTACGGTTATAGATATCTCAGTTGATGAATGCTCGCATAGTATGATTAAGAGGTAGTACCCATAGAGTCCAGTAGAGTGCGGAGCCTGGGCGAGATATAACTAAAATCAAGAGCAAGTCGGGGAGAAGATGATTACTTAATTTGCATATATATTGGTCACACGCTTCCAATCATGATAGATGTTATGTTTTTCAAATATGGAATTATGGGAGAAAAAGGGGCCAAAGAAAATCAATGAGGTGCTATTATTCTCTTTCTCTTATTGGATCTCCTCTTCAGGTTCATATGTAAGGTACAAGTCCAGGGTCAGAGGTCAACCCATCCGACATTTCTCATCTTGTACAGCTTCCATTTTAATGTATTCAACTGCAAAATGTATTTTTTGTATCTTCTGGTAATAACCTGATGATAGTTTACCCAGCCTATATTTTTCAATTTCGTGACTTGGGGCTGCTATCTTTTGTCTCTCCCCCTCCATGAAAACATGAACTTTACATCATTTGGAGCTCACTTCCGTAATAACGTGAACTTCATATAATTTGGAGTTTGCTTGAGTTCATAACAGACATTGCCAGAGAGCCTTCAGCTTAGTCGCAAAGAAAAATAACGACTCCCCTTCATTCATTTCTCATAGCACTTCACTGTAATGACAGTAATCGAGGAGGGTCACAGTGACCATCACACCTCTTATTTTTGATTGCTTATCATTCTAATGACATCAAAAATGATTGTTCCCATTTCAATTTAGTCATGCACTTTTTCAAAGATCCTTGAATATGTTTGTGAACAGGCGCATTTTCCTCTAGTTTCTTAATATTGTACATACAAAATAAATCATTTAGAGCTGTACATGTGGTTGAGAATCCATCAAAAATTATTATTCAAACAAAAATAATTAGCACCTATCATTTATCTTTCTTCATCAATGTATTGGGTGGGATTGAAGGATCTATGGGACAAGCAAAAACTGGACTCTTCCAAGAACCGACTGTGTCCAAGACCAAAAGTAACTAGTAAGCAAAGTCACGTAACGACGGTAAGGTGCTAAACATTTAATTGTTTTGTTTTTTGATCAAATGTTTTTATTCACACACATTTAGTAAATTACAAAGTACAATCACAACACAAATTACAAAAAATACAGAAAAACAAACAATAACAACAATCTGACAAGAGGACAAAACTAAGAAAAAAATAGTCCCAGGACCTCTCCGGACCAATGACTGCAAACAAATACATCGNTTGAGTCCTCTTATGGTGACCTTCCCTTAGATAGACTGTGGAGGAAGGATGTCCCAGAATTGAGACCTGATTTTAACTGGGATTCAGTCTGGGCTAACATTCGTCAGGCGTCTCGCAATCCCGACCACCAACAAAATCCACCTGAACTATGCGCATAGAACTTACCTGACACCCAGGCGGCTGCATGTGATGGGTCTTCTGGCAGATGCTCGGTGTACCCTGTGCTCCATGGAGGCTCCTGGTACATTTCTCCGTATGTTCTGGGAATGCCCGCCTGTTGCTCGCTTTTGGAACGGGGTCTCCTCTAAGTTGTCCGACATATTTTCTTTGACTGTACCTGTATCTGTGTCCGTTTTTCTTTTAAATGATTTATCTCAGCTGCCGGCTACTGGGTACCAGAAAATACCTCTCTATGCTGGCCTTACGGCTGCCAAGAAATTGGTTGCTATGAGGTGGAAACAACCCGACAAGCTCTCAGTGACCAGCTGCTTACTAATGTTTCTTGACGTAGTCTACATGGAACTGTCTACTGCACGCGTGATTGGAGTTAAGGAGTCCAATATCGGTTTATGGTTGTCGACAGCTGAAAAATTAAAGGAGCGGATCTAGCTGTCTTAACCGATGTATTTGTTTGCAGTCATTGGTCCGGAGAGGTCCTGGGACTATTTTTTTCTTAGTTTTGTCCTCTTGTCAGATTGTTGTTATTGTTTGTTTTNCTTATATATTCGGGTGTGTTAAATTTGAAGGGACAAAGTATATTTTTCCTCTGCTCACATCCCTCTCTAAACACAAAGACTTCACCTCTCTATATTAGGGAGGAAAAATATACTTTGTCCCTTCAAATTTAACACACCCGAATATATAAGGTGGCATTAAAATAAATATCTCACAATGGTAGAATCTTTCTTAGAGCTATTTTTCAAAGCATCCAGCTCTCCTTCAGCTGAAGTAATCCTTGTCGTTACAGTTGCTAGCTCTGAGTGCATAGCATCAATCTTGTTAGCTACTCGATCGAGGCTAGCATCTAGCTCCTCACGTAGCGAGGTCCTCACCACTTCGGCGATGGATTTAATATCTTCATCTTTCAACATTTTAGTCGATTTTCCATTTGCCTCCGGCATTCTTATAGCTTTCCAACAGATAATTCGGCGTGAAATGACTTAATGTGTAATAATAGTGGGATGTTGTCGGGGAGCTCAAGACTTACGTAGCCATTTCGTTCCCGCGGTCAACCGGAAGCCCACACATTTAATTGTTAACCTAAACATCAAAATCATTAGTTCTGAACCTAACTGCATAGTTTTAGTGCCTTAGCCTTAAAGTAACTGAAAGCGAAACCTAGGAAAACTGTGACCCTTTCTTAACGTTGGATATGCACCTTTTTCTCACTGGTGGCTGCAGTTGGCCCCATCTAAAGCAGCAGAGTGGTAGAGAAAACAACTGGATACGACCTGTTACTGTCCTGGTAATATTCGTACGTATGAAAATTTAGCAGCCAAGATATAAATCCACCACTGTTATTTCTAGGCTGTTATGTAAAGCGCATTATAACTGGAAATTGCTCTGCCATCACAGTAGAAAATGTAGACTCTTCCACTCCCACCTAAGCAGGGGCGCCGTAAGGGGGTGAAAAGTTAGGACGATTCTAAGGGCCCATGACTGACAGGGGCCCAAACAATTTTAGAACATTAAGAAACAAATGTTTAAGTAACCAATGTGATATCTTTTCATGGGGCCTAAAATCCCTGGCGGCGCCCCTGCACCTAAGTCTCAGAAGGAAGGTTATCCAGAACCACTGTGAAATCTGACATATTGTGCTAGTTTTCAGGTTCATATTAGTATTTTAAGCTACTACTGTGTCATGTCTCCATGCTTTAATGTTCGAAAAGCTCTTTATTTTTCTCATACTGCCTGTGCTACAGCACCACTTTTCACCCTCTGTCTGAAACCAGAGCCCAGTCTGCTCTGATTGGTTAGCTGGCCGGCTCTGATGTGATTGGTCAACTGCCTTAAGATGTGTAAGAAATGTCCCACCCCTATCGCGTACAAAGAAACTCCCTCTGGAGGGAACTTTGGCATTTTACACTTACATGCATACAAACCTATATAACACACTACTGGAAAGCGAAAAACCCAAAAAGCACAATAGGGCTTATTGAAGCATTTCTTCCACTGTACAGTTAACCCCATCCTGACTTGTTTCTAATACGATTAACTCAATTGCTTTTATCCTCTAAAGGTGTAAGGCCAGAGGTGACCCGGAGCCAGCCATCCACTGGATCTCTCCTGAGGGCAAACTGGTGTCAAACTCCTCCAGAACGTTGGTCTACAACAACGGGACTCTGGACATCCTCATCAGCACGGTGAAAGACACCGGCTCCTTCACCTGCATCTCCTCCAACCCGGCCGGCGAAGCCCACCAAACAATTGAGCTCATTATTATAAAGCTCCCCCACATCTCCAACAACACCAACAACATACAGGAGCCCGACCCGGGATCCTCAGACATCTCCACGTCGACTCGAGGAGGGGCCAACGGGAGCAACGTGACGGGCGACGTGAAGGGCGGGGTGGACAAGAGGGTGGTGACAGCCGAGGCCACGTCATCCACGGCGCTGATCAAGTTCAACTTCCAGAGGAACATTCCGGGAATCAGGATGTTCCAGATACAGTACAATGGGAGCCAAGATGACTCGCTGGTTTACAGGTAAGACTGACAGAATCACCATGAGTCAGACAGTTTACGCAACAGAAACATGATATGGCTGATGTGAGAGGTAGAGGATAACCTGAGCTGTATAGATTACATTACAGTAGATTAGATGCAGCTTTAATGATACTGTGGGGAGGAAACGCTACCAGGGTGCTAAGATGCTTTGTTAATGAAAGATAGACTCGGAATAACCACCTAACATTTGAAAGATACCCAAAGGAAAAAAAGGCATTAAGGGCTATGTAATGTGCGGATTCTTCAGTATGAGGAAATTTGCATAAGTATAATGAATGTTATCTTGTCATGAACAGAAAGAAAGGCATTGTTTTTATCAGAGTGCATGCACAGACTATTTATCACGGCTTTATTACATCAGAGCACAGACGGTTCATATCAGGGCACATTAGGCCAACACGGAGATGAAATCGGGATGGACAGCACTGAAAATGCAAAGTGAGAAAGTTCACAATCCGGGGGAAATAATGCTGCTGACTCACCGACACGGCCTTGAAGGCGAGAGCTCTGCGGGGCCCTTCTTAACTTTTGCTGTGTACTCAGGATTACACAGATTAGATCGATCTCGCAGGGAATGATTGTTGTTTGAGCTAAATATTTACTCCAGTGAAATGGGGGAGAGGGAATTAACAAACACATAAAGCTTCTGTAAGGATATGTGCCTGTATTATCTGCCTTTCATATCTGCCGCTAATCCCTATACATACTTCATCTGTATGTATCATCATCAAGAGTTATTGGGGGGGGGGGTCTTTGACATGACCGTCTGGGTGATGATGGTGAATCTAGGTTGGATGTTTTTCGTTGTGATCCTTGATCCATTACAGTCTTCATCTCTGTGTGACTACACCAATATGATTAACAAACAGATCATTCATAGGACAATCTGATGGTATTATCTGCCGTGCATATTATTCCTAATCTCTGTACATGCTTCATCAGCACTCAACTCCATTCGTCACGCAACATCGAGAGACGCCACTGATAGGATTTATGGTGTCGGTCGTGCTAAAGAACTTGTTCTCCAAAAGCCGATCTTCCTCTCCGTCTATCTCTTATTCTCAAAAACTTTGGTGTGTAAGATTGTCATTTTACAAAAGGCTGTGTTTATACTTTTGTGCCCCTTTAAAATACTTGCTGTAAAGTATCACGTTGGAGAGCATAGACAAAGAGCTTCCTGTTCTGGGACTGAAAGTGAAACCTATAGAAACTGCAAGCCTTTCTTAAAGTTAGTTCTTTTTGCTTACTTGTGGTTTCAGTTTGCCCCTTCTGAAGCACCACAGTTGTAGTGAAAACAACTGATTATCACCATTTCATAACCTAATAACATCTGTAGTAATGAGAAGGGTTATGGTTAGGCACCCAACATGTACTGTGAGTCCACCCTTTCTTAACGTTGCATATGCACGTTTTTATGCAACATCGGGAGACAGTGCCGATAAGATTTATGGCCTTCTTTCTTGTTAAAGGTCTCGCTCTCAACTTCAAAATACCTCTCTTCCTCTGCATCAATCTTTTTTATTTTCAAAAGCTTTTGTGCATTTGTAAAATGTGTATTTGACAAAAGCCTGCGTTTATACTTTTATGCCCTAAACTTTGAAATACAAGTGCTTCCTGTTTGTGGATGGAGGAGCCACCAACCACCAAGATCATTATTGGCCTTTTTTCCTCAAAGTCTTCTCTTTTTCCCTCTAATAGGCGCCAAACCCATTTGCGTTTCTCCGTGTTATTTCGGAGCTCTCCTGTCTTTAGATAGCGGATTGATTTCCAATCAACGCCACAGCTTGCACAAAGCAGCAACCCATTGATTCTGTTTTCTTCATTACCCAAACACAGAAGTAAGAGAAAAGGAGGAAAACAAAAGAGTGAGAATAAGAAAGGACGTGTTGAAGACATAAGGGGGATGGGGTGGCGAGGATACGAGAGGAAGACGGACAAGGAGAGACTGGGACTGTCGTCACTGACAGGGCACTGACTTTTCAGGTTCAATGAGAGCTTATTGATTTGCCGCACAATGACATTTCTGCTTTTCTACTCCCCACCTGCTCCACATAATGGTGCATCAGTATCTTCCCTTTATACTGTGAGTTTGGCGATGTGAAAACAGATGGGTAAGGAAGTAGTGGTTTAGAGTCGGTACAGGCACATCCTCCGGGCGATGTTAACCTCCTACACATGCAATAGGCAGCAGATCTAAAAATGTAACAGTTGATGCTGTATTGATCCCTGCAGAGAAGCCCCCCCCTGAGGTCAGGGTCAGCTGCAGAACATCTCTCCCGGAGCTGACAGGGATTCAGTGTCTCGCTCAAGGACACTTGAGGAGGCCAAATGTTTACTGATGCAGTACTGCTGTTTTAACACCACTGCTCCTGCTTAAGTATTGTATTTATATTCCGGAGGAAGAACTGCAACCCAGCCGGACACACAGCAAACCCCCACACAAACTCAGCAATTCTGGTCAGGCTTGTTGGACTTCTTTAGGACAGTATAGTGTCCCAGAAATATTTGCGACAAACAATATTATGTTAATTTAGGAACTTTTGTATGCCTTTGATGCGGTATAATGATCATTTGATAATGATAATATAATCTCAAAATAGTGCAAGCAGACCCTTATAAATATCTTCATTAAATAAAACTAGAACAATGTAAGAAGTAAGCAAGTAGTATCAAATCCAAAATGCCTGTTATTAGGTACCCAACAAAAAAGATGAATGTGGTTCTGCTTTTGTTCTCTAACATGCACGTTGAGTTAGGAACGTGACACAAAGACTTGGTTTTAGGAAAAAAACACAAAGGTTTTTGGCTTGAAAACACTGGCTCTTGGCATAACATGGAACAAAACAAACTGGCACAGGACAAAGGGAGACAAGGAGTATTAATAGAAGAGTTAATGGGACACAGGTGGCAACAACAAGGGTGGGGCAAACAATCACAGTAGCAATTATATACCAAATGTGAGTATGTTTGAGACAAATCTATCTTGTGTTTTAAATAAAGGCCTTTAGTTTGATTTTCAGGAATGAATGGCTTTGCTTGTAACCAATACGACATGCCTACCAAAAACAAAACACATATTTGTTGTGAATCCATGGGACTTTGGTGTCTCTTTTCCTTTCCTTCTTTAATGCAAACTGTAAGGAACAAAATTGAGTCATGCACAAAGCCTTTATCCAAGTCTCAGCTGTTAACCCCTTATTGTAAGGCCGGGTCAAGGAAAAGCTGATGTCAGAATAATGTTCTGACCTTTTACAGATGACCTCTCACAGCACAGAGGCACATGCAGTTTTACACCTCACTGGTTTAATTGAACGATCCACAGCGGCGTGGATGATGAGCATAAACTCACAGCCAGAATAGACAAGACGACCGTAAAATTGCCACAAAGCACAATGGGCTCTTATTCAGAAGTGGAGCCAATTATTACTCTTAATTAAGAGTTTGGATGAATGCAAGCCACGCTGGGATAATTGAAATAATTAATTCACAAATTATAGGATAATAAGATGTATTGTTTAGTCAAAGATTCAATTAAAATGATGATGATACTAATGCTGGTATGTGCCCTGAACAGAGTAAGAAAGACATACAAAATACTGCTTTTTAATAAGGAATATATGTATCGAAAAAAGTGGTTCCAACATAATTATATGTCAAGGCGATACTTTTATACAACCCAGCACCTATAGTCTATTGTCACAGGTTGTGTGTCTGAGTTGAGAGCAGCTCAAATAAAGGGTAATTGTGTATTTGTTACTACTGTATGGAAGGCATAACTTTAAGAGTAGTGTATTTTCTAAGAAAGAAGTATAACATAACGTTTTATTTCCTACCGATACCCTCTAAGTCAGTGATACGCAGCTTATCATGTGGACCCAATACGGTGCCAGATGGCACGCCGACTATTCCCTACTTCATAATGACCTCTTTTTTTATAATGCCAGGGGAGGATCCCCCATCGCCCACTTAGCAGAGGTCTGGGCCATAGATGTTTGTTCAATTTGCAAAACGTGTTCCCCGGGAAAGAATTTGAGTATCCCTTTATCATATTTGACCGTCTCGACCCTCAGCTTGGAAACCAATAGTCTTCTATTTTTTATTGTATTGATTGCATTAGGTAAAGAGTTGTCTAATTTAAACATGTTTGCATCTATACTCAGATGTGGCCAGTAAGCAATAATAAAAGTTGCAATAGAAGCAATAATAATAAAAAGCTGGGCCTGTGTGTAGCAGTATAAAGAAATGTAAAATGAACACATCTTCACCGATAGCTGTAGTTCTGGCTAAGATATGTCGTCCCTTGGAAGGGGAATCGATGACAAAGATATATCCCATTTTGGAGAAACATGTTCATCAGGAAAAAGAATGATGTTAGCATTAGAGCTAAAAGCTAAACTAAGCTGATGTTTAAAGATGAGTCAAAAACACCAACATCCATCTATAAACACAAGCCCTAATGTATTAAGGCTGCGGTACTGTAGAATATACTTCAACCACTCAGAGTATACAAACATGAAAGGCTTCAATATATCTTTCAGAGCCAAGGCAATCTTTTTTTTTTAAGAGGCACAAACTCCACTTTGGCATTCACTAAGTTGCTTAAGAACACTTACAAAACCCATTCTCCCTCCACCCTCGTCGTCTGCCTGTTGTCAATTCAGTGGCTGTTTTCCACTCCAGCAGATCCATCGAGCTACAGGGGCTGGATGCCATTTGCCATGAAAACTACACATCAAGCAAATTGTGTGGCAAGCTTTTCTTATGAGGCTACACAGCAGGGGATGGGAGGTGAATCCAGGCTTTTAAAAAGGCATAATCTCCCCTTTTATCCCCCTCCTTAGCAGAAAGTAGTTTGTCCCCGCCTATGGTCCCTGCGGCCCAGGTGTAACACCTTGCTCAGCTGTGCTTAAGGCGTGACAAAACAACCGCCTTTATCCCGCCGTAATGTTCCAATTGTGTTTTTATAGGACCATAAACTT